ATTTAAGTCGTTTAATTAAGAAATACCTATTCTTACAAAGTAACATCACATGTATTCATATTTATTGTAAAAACTTTTCAGTGTGCAAATGTTTGTGTACTGGAATAAATTTGCAATTGAAACAACAAGATGACCGACACCCTCCATTACAAACATTACCTGCGGTATTCTATGTGGTAAACCATCAAATGTTATGTGGTAACTGTGTAGTACTTTGTTGTTTTTTGGGACGTTTTACCACAGGATTCTGTGCTGTACAGTATGTAATACTCCTGTAGTATTCTTGTGGTAGTGTGTGGTATCACTTTCATGTTTTGGTAGTATTTACCACAGGATTCTGTTATACAATATGTAATATTCCTGGGATATTCTTGTGGTAGAGTGTGTGGTATTACTGTTATATTCCTGTAATATTTTTGTGGTAGCATGTGGTATTTCATGTGGTAAACCATCAAATGTACAAAACAAAAATCATGTGATAATTGTGTAGTACTTTGTTGTTTTTTTGGGACGTTTTACCACAGGATTCTGTGTTGTACAGTATGTAATACTCCTGCGGTATTCTTGTAGTAGTGTGTGGTATCACTTAAACATTTCTGTGGCACCACAGAAGTCTGTTGCTTAGTATGTAATACTCCTGTAGTATTCTAGATATATTAGATGTATATAAGTTCCTATTTAAATAGGGTATATGCCGAGCTAGTGCTGTTTCCATGCTGAAACACTTCCGGTGACCTGTTATTGTGAACTTTTTTTCCATTTTATACGGTTCCTTATACAGCATCGATGTTGTAATGTCATTAAAATACATTCAGTTAAATAAACTTTTGCATTAATTTAGTTGCTCAAGCGTAAAACGAGACAAAAAGCTGTTTACTCGCACGCGCCCGTCAGAATCGGCAGGCTAACGCAGAAGCTCCATTGAATATACTGGGGTAAAATATATTGCTCACATTATAAGGATATGGCGGGGGAAATGTAATTTAATGCAGTGCTTCTTGTACAATCTGAGAGCCACTTTAAATCGGATATCACTCAGCTTGTGGAGATCGCTGACTTTGAAAGAAAACAGACCTTAAACGCACCGGATTATGCATTGGCATTAAATTCGCCGGAAACGCTTAATTTACACCATGGATGCTGTAAAAGGAACCGTATAAAGTATCTCAGAAGAGTACACAGCACCAAAAATGTAAAAATATATATTAAATATATGTAATATATTTTTGTCCACAGCAGACAGCAACTCGCCCTGACGCAGATTCCCAAGTCGTGGTCCAATCAGGTGAGCCCTCCTCAGCGCTCGCTATGACAACGAGACAACAGTGACGTGCCTTGTAGAAATTTGCATATGCATTCCTATAAAGCTCGTGTGCTCTCTGTCAGCGCTGTCAGTTCGCCCGGTGTAGCTGCTTGTACTTGACCAAGGTGAGTTCAATACCGACGGTACGAGTGGAGCTACGCCAAACTCACGAAGTCCGCTTCGTGATGCTTCACCCGGGCCCGTCTGTGCTGTAGTTCCTTGCGGTTTGCGTACATAAACGCAATATCGCGAAGAACATTACGTGTTTGTTGCTCGAAATGTGCCGCCGAGCAACATCCAGTGAATACTGGCACGGCCTGGCGCCCGGTCTTTCCGTGCACTCCCTGGGGCGAGGCGGCCTTTGAGCCCTAGGCAGGGAGCAAACAACCCCCGAGGACCCTCAGGGAAACACGGGCGGCCGGTAGTGGGACCTCGCTGCGAGGGTTATGGTGGGTGGAAGTAGCGAGGCCCACTCATCTTCTATTTTAAACTATAGTTTCAAACTTTAGTTTACTATAGTTTGAAATAGAAACCATGGTAACTGTTATGATTAAACCTTTAGCAAAGAGCTTAGAATGACCAAGAGCAACAGACCCGGTTTCCGCCATTTTGAAGTGACAGCGATCGCTCGTCTTTGCTGTCGCGATGGAAAGCAGCTGCTTTGTTTTTATTTAATTCATTCAAAAAGCGCGTTATTGTTTCCCAAATTGTAGAGTGTCGCCTCTTGGTAATTCTATGCTCTTTGCTCCATGTCTGACTGTTGTAATGTTTTGCTTTGTTTTTCAGCTCAGTTGTTGAGCAAAGAAGGACTATTGAAGACAACAGTTGAAGACAACCGCGGGTTATATTCACGAGCGCGCGCATTATAATGTTTCCGGGCTGTTTTCTGAAAGTGTGTCTTGTTTAGATAAGTTTGCATGTCAAACTAAATAAACTATACTCTTTCTAAACACCTGTCTCGTGTTTTATTTGTCCTCTACAGCAATGCACTGTCATATAAGTCTGTTGAATGCATTTGTATGCAACATGGTTTGACAATACAGAAGTCTAACAAATAAATAGTTGTTATAAATGTACTTTCATTAGTCAACATTTGCTGTTATGGTTGTTTCATAACTATATTTTTTATTATTATTATTCTGTATGTTTAAAACCAGAAAATTATACTATATATTTAACATGTCACATATACTTACTGTTATTTTAAAATTTGCCAAATAAAATGTCCTAAGACAAGAATGGGTGTTGTTTTGATTTCATGTCAACCTACTGTAGGTTTTAGGTTGACTGCAGCAGGTATAGGCTACATACATCATAGGGAGTTTTTTAATGACCCAAATCAAGTAAAACGTCTCTTACTCAAGTACTTTTAGCATGCAAAAGTCAAATTTAAGTAAATAAAATACAGATTCCAACAACAAAATTTTGTCTTGTGAAAAAGACCAGTGTGGTGGTGAGAAAAAAAGTAATGCCAAATTATTTATAAATTTATTCATTTGAAAAGAGCGTTCATTTCAAAGGAGCGTTACCCTGTACTAAAATGGCGGCTCTATTGACGCATTCCTTCCAATAGACAACATCAGGGTAGGCGAAATCTAATGTATATAGCTATGGCGCTAACTAGTATTCACGTCGTATCATGCTCAACTCTTAACACTCTTTTACGCACTTTGAAAGACTTTGCGTGATTTCAGAGAGATATTTAAGCACATATGAATTAACAGTGGCGTCTCTACCCTTGAGTTACACAATGCAGCATTTAGCTCGCTCGTAAACATCGCTGCCGTCCTCAGATCATTGTCTGAGCAGAAGTTTCATCATTAGCCCTGACTGTCAGATGCTCTTCATCTCAGGAGCTGTATTTTTAGATGCTTGATAACAGATATAAGGTGAGTTATGGCTTGAGTGGACGCTGCCAGACGGGCTTTCATTCATTTTGGCATGACAGGAGAGAACAGGATACTAATGAGTGACAGAGAGTCCACAAAAACTGCTCTCCGGTTGCATTTCATTTGATGAATATTATCTTTTAGAGCTTCGAGTCGTGCCTCAGGTTTTTTTTCCCTCAGGTGTTTCTCGTCAGATTTGTTGTAGAAAGGTGAGATATGTTGTTTAAGACAAATTAATATATAAGCTATGAGATGAAGTTAAAAATATTTGTGCAATGCATTTATTTATAAATTATCTTGATAAATAAATAAATTTATTTATAAATTATTATTTGGCATCTGCTTCCACCTTGTGGCAGCAAAGGGAAGTTTTAAAAGGCACACGTTTTATTCATTCAGAAAGTTCTTTACCTGCTGAATCACTGACTCGTTCATGATGCAGACCGTTATTATTTTAATTGTATGTATATATAAATGTAAATGCATGTTTAAAAATTAAAATAAATGATTATATTTGTTGTTTTTTCGGTTTATTTTTCTAACTTTAAATTCTATGAATATACATTTATATAATATAATTACACATATTATAAATTCTTTTAATATTTCTATATGGCTTTATTTAGTTAGTTTTAGTATTTATTTATATATGTGCAGGTCTATATTTTTATTATAAAATAGTTTTTAAAATTTTTGTAGTTTTATAATTAAATAACATAGCTAACTTTATATATATATATATATATATATATATATATATATATATATATATATATATATATATATATAGATAGATATACATTTTTTTTTACATTTAATTTATTTTGTATAATTTATTTTTTTTAGTTGTCACTTTTAACAGGTAATATTTCATCTAGTACTTATATTTTTATAATAGTTTTCATTTGTGTCAGTAACACAGATAACGCCTTCATAACTGTAAGATGTCATAATTTTTCTCACAGTAGACTGGACCAGCTGATTCGAATGTTATCAATTGAATGGGTGTTATCAGTGGTTATCAGCTAATAGATATGGACTATTAGGTGCCTTCTGCACCTACTGGTAGGCTCAGAAGGCTGTTATCATCCATCCACATGGTTAATCAGCTATAGATCACAAACGGCTGCAGCCGGAAGTTAAAGAGAATTATTTATATTATTTATTAAATATCCCAATAATTATATTTTATTAATGCCTACCCCTACCTTAACCGTCACAGTAATGTAAAAGATCTGGAGTGTTCTCTATAAGTATAGCTGATTAACAATGTGAATGGATGATGACAGCATTCTGAGTGACATTTACTGGTCGGAAGGCCCCTACTGGCCCATATCTATCAGCTGATAACGGTATGTAAGGAGTATTACATACTGTACAGCACAGAATCCTGTGGTAAAACGTCCCAAAAAACAACAAAGTACTACACAGTTACCACATAATTTTTGTTTTGTACATTTGATGGTTTACCACATGAAATACCACATGCTACCACAAAAACATTACAGGAATATGACAGTAATACCACACACTCTACCACAAGAATATCACAGGAATATTACATATTGTATAACAGAATCCTGTGGTAAATACTACCAAAATATGAAAGTGATACCACACACTACCACAAGAATACTACAGGAGTATTACATACTGTACAGCACAGAATCCTGTGGTAAAACGTCCCAAAAAACAACAAAGTACTACAGTTACCAAGAAATGTAAGAAATGAAAGTTTTGCAGTGAAATGAACAAATATCCACAATTCTTGTTCATTATTGGAGAAACAGGAACACAGACATTTTGAATCATTATAAAGTTTAATTGATTTTTACATATATAAAATATTTTCATGGCTATTATCAAAATAAAATAAATATTATTGAGTGACAAAGTATATTCTTCATACTCTTGTACAGGGTCTTTAACAAAGAACAGAAGAATCATATTCAGTTAAAGCCGTTGACAAATTCACATGAATCACTTCAGCTGATGATTCCTTATGTACATATGCAGCTCATGTCTAGTTGAGCTATGTTTCAGTCTTCTGTCTCTCCACAAAGTGCAGATTGACCTTTTTGTTAGGAACAAGCACTGAACGAAAGTTTGCCTTAACTTCACCTACAGTCGGGTCTGGTCGCATTTCAAACAACTTGATTAGCTGCAATTAAAAACACAATCACAAACAGCACAATAATAATGCAATGTCACTGTCTGGCACAGAACTGAAAAATAAATCTCACCCTTGCCAAAGCCAGATGCATTTCCAGTTCAGCAATGCGACGACCGACACAGGCTCTGACTCCAAATCCAAATGGGATTGACCCAAACGGGTTTGGTCTGGTTCTGCCGTCTCGCAGCCAGCGCTCAGGTTTGAACTTCTGTGGTTCTGGGAAGACTTTCTCATCATGGCTGATTGCATAGTGGCACAGATTGAATGTTGTCTGTTCCAAAAAAAAAAAAGGAGTTGATTTAGTGGTCAATTTCAAAATGTGCAACTCTTTTTTTTTTTCTCCTTCCCAACAACATGAGGTCAATTCACCTTTTTAGGAAAAAAGTATTCACCAATGACGACTTCGGTTTCTGCAATAAGACGGGAATTTACAGGCACCACCGGATACAGTCTGCGCAAAAAATACATATGCAAACACATTATAAAGTAATAGTACAGAACATGTCTACATGTATTCATGTGTGAAATAATTTCCTTTATGATCTTGACAGACATCTAATATGGTCCCTAAGGGTATATTTATTCAAACTAAATCTAAATATTAACTCATGTATAACTGACATGAATTTAATTTGTAGTTTTTTAATATAATAAAAATATCCTTAGCATAGATACTGATTACTTTTAATAAATACTGATTGCATGATTACTTACACAGAGGAACAGTTCTTGTACAAAATAACACATTTTACTGTTTGTTTGTTTTCAAATAACTGCAGCCATGGCAAGCAGGAGATTCTTTTAAAATATTTTATAACATTTGACTATTTTATAATAGATAAACCCTAAATTTTAAAGCAATACATCACTTTCAACAACATATTCCTCCACCTTAATGTTTCCTTGATGACGGCTTTGAGGAAAGGCATGCTGTTCACTTCTTCTGCTGTTGGGATTCTGTCATCCTTTAAGACCTTGGTTACCTCCTGATACAAAGTCTCCTGAGCTGCTGGGTCTTTTGAGAGAAGATAAAGAGCCCACAACATGGTGTTGGAGGTCTAGAACATCAGTAAAGATCATTTTAAAATCGAAAATCATCTTGAAATGGTAGTTGTGATGACCTTTTCTTCCCTGTTATGACTAGCATCAGACAAAGTGTACAAAATGTACACCAATTTTGGATTTTGTCTAATATAAATAGGACTGGGTGGCATATATCAGTATGTTTTTTGTAATAAATATGTTGTGAAAGTGTAATTTATTATAAATATATGAAACACTTTAATTTTGCTTTCATTGGTCCCTTCTGCATGTAAGTTAGCGCTAAACTTAAAGTTCACTCATAGATGACAGATCTGTTGTTGTTATTATTGACCTTCGTGTCATTCCAATCTATGTTCATCTTCAGAACCCAAATTAAGATAACAGTTATCTTTATCTGTTATCTTTTCATTATCATTATTACAAGTATTTATACCATTATCATTAGTAAGGTTGCAGTTGTTGTAGTTGTAACGGTAGTAGTTGTAGTAGTAGTAGTAGTAGTAGTAGTAGTAGTAGTTGAAGTAGTAGTCATTGTAATAGTATCGATTGTTATTGAGTAATTGTTACGGAGATTATAGAAGTTGTAGTTCATGTAGTAATAGATGGCATTGGTATAGTAGTAGCAGAAGTAGTAATGGTGTGGTGGTTACAGTAGTAGTAGTAGTAGTCGTTGTTGGTGTAGTAATATCAGTAGTAGATGTTGTTGATGTAGATGTAGTAGAAGTGATTGTAGTAGTAGTAGTAGTGGTAATAGTAGTAGTAGTAGTAGTTGTAGTCGCAGTAGACATTGTTGTATTAATTGTAGCAAACGCTATAGTAGTATCAGTAGTAGTAGTCGTTGTAGTAGTATCAGTATTAGTAGACATTGTAGTAGTAGTAGTCGTGGTTGTGGCTGTAGTAGAAGCATTAGTAGTTGTAATATAAGTAACTTTCTGTAGTAGTAGTTGGTGTAGCACTTGTGATTTATTATTATTGTTGTCAGTTATTACTGTTGTCCTTTCTCTCTTTTTACTCTCATATTTACTATCATACATTAATAAGCATTGTTGTTACTCCCTACCTCTGACTGTTTTTTTTCTATATGTTTTATCTATATCTGTGACACTTGATTCATTTATTGACTGTTATTGTTCCTAATGTATGTACTCTGACCTGTCCACCAAGTTACCTTTACATGCATACACACACTCACACGCACACACTCACGCACATACCAGTACCTGACTATATTGTTGATGTTTTTGTTGTTTTTGTTTTGTTGCTTTGTATTTGTTATCTGTTGATGTTTTCTTGTATTTGTATGATTTTTGCATATACTAATAAAAAAAAAAAAAAAAAAAAAAGAACCCAAATTAAGACATTTTAGATGAAATGTCTGAGTTCGCTCATCCTCCATAGACAGCAAAAGTCCTGAGACGTTCAAAAACAGGAACCAAAACTGTCAAAACATTTCATGTGACTTGCACAGGGGCCCAGTGCATGTTTGCAAAGAGCAATACATTCTGCAGCTGACTCTAATGGCAAGTATGTTATATTGCCCAGAGTAAATGTACACTTGTGACATGAAAGACAACGGCAAGCAAACTCACTTATTCATCCAATCATTTTCTTTTCGGCTTAGTCCCTTTATTAATACGGGGTCACCACAGCGGAATGAACTGCCAACTTATCCAGCATATATTTTACACAGCGGATGCCCTTCCAGCTGCAACCCATCACTGGAAAACATCCATACACACTCATTCACACACACACTACAGACAATTTAGCTTGCCAAATTCACCTATACCGCATGTGTTTGGACTGTGGGGGAAACCGGAGCAGCCATAAACCCATGCGAACATGGAAAGAACATGGAAGAGAAATGCCAGCTGACCCACCCGAGGCCGAATCAGCAACCTTCTTGCATTGAGGCGACAGCACTGCCCACTGCGCCACCTGCAAACTTGCTTTTACAGTGTTTTTTTTTCCTTTGAGCTCCATATGATGATGATGAATCCTTAATTTTTCACAACATTGTTACAGGCAGGGAAATTGGACCCGTCCGACCATACACAAACATCACACATTTTAAAGAAAGACAGGTCAGAATACATGTGAACCCCTGAAATCACATGGAATGCTTTGACAATGTTTTTTGGTTCCTTATCTGGACCTTATATGTCTCAAGACTATTGCTGTCTGTGGAGGATAAGAGAGCTCTAAGATTTGATCCAAAATAAAAGTGACTATTGTAAGAGGGAAACTCAAACTGTTAAAATGTCTAATAATTAAAATAGAAAATAACTTTAATGTGAGAACACGTTACACATACTGTATGTTACATGTGCACATTTTAAGCAATGTATTAAGCGATGTATTTCTGTCAGTTCGCTTAATGGCCACAGGTGTTGGTAATAACATGGCTTTCTGAATTCTACATATAGCCAATATTTAAAACTCCTACAAATGTTGTTTACACAGTCAAATCTATAGAAGTGGCGTCTTACTGTGTCGACTCCAGCCAGCAGCAGCTCAGATACACTTCCATAAACATCTTTGCTGCTCATCTTGCCACTAGAAAGCAGGTATGTGAGATACTCTCCAGCAACCTCCTGATTGGTATCTACACGCTTCTGAATGGCCTCCATCTTCATGTCAATCATTTTTGTGCCTATTAGTAATCCATATGTATCAACATCATCAAACTCCAAAACAAATCTCTTAAAGTCAGTCTGAAGCTGATGTGTGAAGCTTACCGAACTTGAATATGCCATCCCAGCCATCAATGTACTTCTGCCAGAATGGGAAGTAATTGCGGGTCCAGTTGGGCAGAAGGGCCACGTGCATGCTGTAGGTGAACATTTGAGCAATTGAATTAATAAACTCTTGAGTCTCAACAGGAATCTCTTTCTCCAGACAGCCAATGCGCGTCTCGAAGAGAATGGACGCAATCCCTGTGAAGAAAAGTATCCCAATTATTGTGGGAAAATTGAAAGCATGTTAAGAATGGTGATAAACTGGTATTCAAATTGTCTTTAATAATATAAAGACAAAAGTTAGTTTTATTTAATGTAAGGCTTATAACATGACTCATAACATTATATCAGTGATCTTACAGCAGAATAATGACACTTAACTAATGAACTTTCTTTAAAAAACAATAGAAAACATTCTTGTAACACTTAAATATATTACATTTTAATAAAATCTTTGCATAATGGGCAAATGTTACATCATTTACATTACTGCAAAATATGAAGGAACAAAAAATACTGACCCTACAGTAACTTGTTTTATACTTTCTTCTTCTTTTATTCTTTTTACTAAAAGAAATAAACTGCGTTTATTTCAAATAGAAGGTTGAAGTCACTATGATTCATGAGATACTAGAGACTGGAGAAATGATGATAAATACAGTAAATAATGATTAATGAGCTTTGCCGTCACAGAAATCGTTTACATTTTAAAATACAAAACAGGTATTTTAATTTGTAATACTACTTCTGAAGAATATTACTGTTTTTACAGTAGTAAAAACTCAGATTAAGGTCTTGGAGAGCATAAAAGACTTCTATCAAAAACAAATGGTTTTGATCTTGGATACGTTGTACTAAAACGTTTTGTTATTTTAAATGTAACTAAACATAAGCTGATTACTGTAATACACAACTGATTACTATAATTGCTAATGTTGTATTTGTCCAGCAATTATCACATTTTTTAAAGTATTACTTGCACTTCACTTCATGTTGTAATGTCAGGTTGTTTCCTAAATTCTCTTTTGAAAATTACTTCAGGGATTTAATTTCACACACTAATGAAGCAGAAATACCTTCAAGGGAGAATCGGTAAAGCTCATTGGTCAGATTAGAGACTAGATCCCCTGTAGGACTCATCTCCCGCAGATAGTAAATGCGTTTGATGAAGTCTGTGATCACTGCATTCACCACATCTCCATACTGAAGCGAGTCCTTTGGATGAAGCATGCGTTTGTTCAGCACCGCTCGTAGTTTGTACCATTTCTCTCCTTCTCTGTTGAACAACACAGTCTCCTTTCAGATGACAAAACAGCAGGAATTGATAATAGATAATTACTTTATACAACACGAAACAGCTACAATAGCCAACTGTACTTTGGCCTCATAAAATCTTCAGACTTGATTAGTTTTGCTTATTAAATGGGCTGTAAAACGTGTCATTTAAACAAATTATTTGTTTTTACTCTGTGAAAGGGCCATAGCCAATGCCTCTTAAGTCCCGGTGCTCTGTCCACAGAGTCATGTATCCTCTGCATGGATATTTCTCATCTTTTCGAAGGAGTTCTTCCAGTAGCTCCACACTGCTTATTGAAATGCCTTGGAGGTTTCCAGAATTGATTTTGCTCAAGGGGCCATAAACCTGTTTTTGATATATCTGCAGAGATAAAAAAAAAAAAAAGATGTAAAACATAACCAAGATGTTCTTGTGGTCTAAATATAAATAGCAATTATTACACATCTATTAGCCTACAGATAATTACACAAATGCAAATCGATTCAGAGCAGGTAACAAACAAGACAATCGTTTACACGACAGCCGTTTCTTTTCAATTCAGTAAAACACCTGACAGTCTGAGGACATAAACAATAATGTCAAGAGTCCTGCAGATAAAATCACATGATAAACAAATACAGCTGCGTTATTTCTTTATACCTGTAGCTCATGTATGCTGTTGAGGTACCCTTTGAAGAGCATTTGATACAACATGGTAAAGATTTTGATCTCTGGAAGGTCAGCCTCAGTCTTCAGCTTTCTGTGGCCGTCCTGGACACTGACAGAAGCAGCCGCAGCATTTCCTGCTGCTCTCCTGAAGCCTGTGGCCGCTGCCGTGGGTCTCAGAAAACCGAATCCGAGCCTTTCTGCAGAGCTCAAAGCAAAACAAACAGCCATTATGGACACAGAACGAAGAATGAGGTTAACGACACCGATATGAACGGGAGGGAGAGGGAGGTGGGACGAAAAGACTCACTGTTTAACCCTTCACTGCCTGTTGTACTATCATATAGCTTGGAGTTGTTCTGAAAATGGGAATTGTTATTATCATTTATAGAGGTTGACATTTAAAATATTGTCTAGCAAGCACACGCCTTATGTCGTTACAAACTGTCGGGCTTTTCTGCAGCACAAAAGTTAAAAAATGTTTAGTTTTTGTGCTTCAAGAAAATAGCAAATATAAGCAGCTATGACAGCTGGAAGTGCGCGTATTTATCTGTAATACGTCATACAGACGTCCTTGTGAGACATTCAGTCGACGTCTATGCGATACATCATCACATACGTTTATAGAACAGTTTGGCCCTAAGTACCAGTGTTACATTTGGAGGTTAAAGAGAAAGCTTACAAGGCTATAGGAACACCATACTAACTGAGAAGTATGGGGGCGGCAGCATCATGTTGTGGGGCTGTTTTGCTGCAGGTCCACTTCACAGCATAGATGGCAGCATGAAGAAAGAACATTATGTAGAAATACTGACACAACATCTCCAAACATCAGCCAGGAAATTAAAACTTGGCCACAAATTGGTCTTCCAAACAGACCATGACCTTAAGCATACTGCCAAATTAGTGTGGTGTTTTTCAGTTTAAATAAAATTTTTACATGTTTTCCATGCATAAGAAGGCTTAAACAATTAACCTATAAAGTGTTAATTATTGTGAAACTGTCAGAAGTGTTGCAAACTGCTAAGTGCTGCAAATCGCATGCACAAAATAGAGAAGTGTCGCAAGGGTGCATAGAAAGGGCAGAGATTTCAGGACAGGATGTATGAGCCGTGTGTGTGTTATAAGGAGACATTTGCCTTAAAAGGTAAAACCAAGTGAAGATGCACGGAAGACAAACAACTGTGGTATAAAAAGGATGTGTCTCTGAAAGAGAGTTCAGAGTTGAACCTCTCCTGCGCAGTGTATTGCTTTTGGTTTCTTTCCTGCTTGAGCAAATAAAACTTATAATTTTTTGACAGATTGACTCCGAACCCATTTTTGAACATGCACTGGACCCTAAAGTCCAACATTAGTTAAAATGTGCTTTAAGGACAACAGTGAATGTTTTGGAGTGGCCATGACAAAACCCTGATCACAATCCTTTAAAAAAATTGTGGGCAAAACCTTGCACAAGCAAGACAGCCTACAACTCTGACTCAGTTACACCAGTTCTGTCAGGAGGAATGGGCCAACATTTCTTCAAACTATTGTGAGAAGCTTGTGGAAGGATACCCAAAACATTTTACCAAAGTTATACAGTTTAAAAGCAAAGCTAAAAAATACCAAGGAAATGTTTGTAAACTTTTGACTGTCTAGAAATTAATAAATTCTCAAAAAAAAATTTTCACATTATTCTGGCATTTAGCAAATCCTAACATTTAGGTAATCCTAACGGACCTAATATAGTAAACGTTTAATATAATTTACCATCAGACATTTTTTTTTTTAAATGGCTATGTTCCTTTTTTTAGAGTGCATGTACACTTCTGGTTTGCCAAAATATTAATTTAGTGGTTTGAATACAGCAATTCTAGATCACCAACAGCGTAAGTGTTTAAAAAAAACATGTTTCTTGTAAAATAGGCATTTGTACTGTAGGTGTCTATAAAACTAGATGCATAGTATTTTATTATACACTGGCTCAGACATGGAAGTTCAATGAATCATCAATGTATAATTCGCACCATGTGAGACAGATATATATAGCATAGATGTTGTTTAATTTGTTTTATGACAGGCTGAGAAAACAAAGAAAAAAAACTAATGTTTGTATGCGTTTCAAAATGTTTTCTTATTAAAATGAAATAGAATAAAATTGTAAATTATTTTGTGCTGTCACATGACAATGATTATGTCGTCAAAAATATTATTTTGTTTGTTTGATAATGCATTTATAAATGAACAGTTAATAAAAAATGGGCAGATTGTTAAGAAATGCAAGTTTTGCAGTGAAATGAACAAATATCCACAATTCCTGTTTCTCCAATAATGAACAAGAACACAGACATTTTGAATTCATTATAAAGTTTAATTGATTTTAACATCTATAAAATATTTTCATGGCTATCATCACAATGAAATAAATATTATTGGGTGACAAAGTATATTCTTCATACTCTTGTACAGGGTCTTTAACAAAGAAAAGAAGAATCATATTCAGTTAAAGCCATTGACAAATTCACATGAATCACTTCAGCTGATAATTCCTTATGTACATATGCAGCTCATGTCTAGTTGAGCTATGTTTCAGTCTTCTGTCTCTCCACAAAGTGCAGATTGACCTTTTTGTTGGGAACAAGCACTGAACGAAAGTTTGCCTTAACTTCACCTACAGTCGGGTCTGGTCGCATTTCAAACAACTTGATTAGCTGCAATTAAAAACACAATCACAAACAGCACAATAATAATGCAATGTCACTGTCTGGCACAGAACTAAAAAATAAACCTCACCCTTGCCAAAGCCAGATGCATTTCCAGTTCAGCAATGCGACGACCGACACAGGCTCTGACTCCAAATCCAAATGGGATTGACCCAAACGGGTTTGGTCTGGTTCTGCCGTCTCGCAGCCAGCGCTCAGGTTTGAACTTCTGTGGTTCTGGGAAGACTTTCTCATCACGGCTGATTACATAGTGGCACAAAGTGAATGTTGTCTGTTCCAATAAAAGGAGTTGATTTAGTGGTCAATTTCAAAATGTGCAACTCTTTTTTTTTTTCGTTTGCTTCCCAACAGCTCGAGGCCAATTCACCTTTTTAGGAAAAAAGTATTCACCAATGACGACTTCAGTTTCTGCAATAAGACGGGAATTTACAGGCACCACCGGATACAGTCTGCAAATTCAAGGTGAATAAGAATATTAATATTAAATATTACTTCCCCCAATTATTTAAATTGTAGCATTTTACAGATTTTATTATAAGGTTTTCAATATAATAAAAAAATGTGTTCAGCATAGATAATATATTTACACAGAGGAACAGTTCTTGTACAAAATAAGTGGTTGTACTGTATTTTTGATCAAATAACTGCAGCCATGGTTAAAATAATAATCTTCTTTCAAAATATTTGATAAATCTGTACTTTTTATTAAAGGTATACCATAAATTTTAAAGCAATATATCACATTCAACAACATTATCCTCACCTTAATGTTTCCTTGATGACAGCTTTGAGGAAAGGCATGCTGTTCACTTCTTCTGCTGTTGGGATTCTGTCATCCTTTAAGACCTTGGTTACCTCCTGATACAAAGTCTCCTGAGCTTCTGGGTCTTTTGAGAGAAGATAAAGAGCCCACAACATGGTGTTGGAGGTCTAGGATGTGAATAAATATAATTTCAAAACATCTTGAAATGTTAGGTAGAATGAATCGTAGTTGTGATGATTTTTCTTTCCTATTATGACTAGCATCAGACTAAAATAGCTTCTCACACAAGGCAAAATGTACGCAAAGATTGATTTTTGTCAATTGTACACTCAAGGCCAAAATTATTCATTCTCCTAGGGAATATGAATAGGACTGGGTGGCATGTATCAGTATATATTTTGTCTTTGATATGGTATGAAAATATAATGTATTATAAGTATATATATTATTAGTTAATTCTGTTGACCTATTTGTTTGCTAATTTTTCTCCTTTATAGCTCCCTCATGTCTACTGTCCTGTGCCAGTTTGTACGTCATTCTTCTAGTGTCCAGTTTTGTCCTGTCGTGTTCAGATCTGCTCTTCCCTGCCAGCAAAGCCAAGTTTGTTTTTGCTAATGTTTTCCCCAATTGTTTTTTTTTTTCCGCATTTTATTATATTTTTTATTTAAAAAACCCATCTTTTAGTCCTACATATGAGTACTTGTCCTTCCCTAACCCAAACCTTGACAATTACAAATTTTTAAAACTCCTACAAATGTTGTTTACACAGTCAAATCTATAGAAGGAGCGTCTTACTGAGTCGACTCCAGCCAGCAGCAGCTCAGATACACTTCCATAAACGTCTTTCCTGCTTATCTTGCCATTAGAAAGCAGGTATGTGAGATACTCTCCAGCAACATCCTGATTGGTATCTACACGCTTCTGAATGGCCTCCATCTTCATGTCAATCATTTTTGTGCCTATGAGTAATCCATTAGTACAATAAACATTATTAAACTCCACAACAAATCTCTTAAAGTCAGTCTGAAGCAGATGTGTGAAGCTTACCGAACTTGAATATGCCATCCCAGCCATCAATGTACTTCTGCCAGAATGGGAAATATTTGCGGGTCCAGTTGGGCAGAAGGGCCACGTGCATGCTGTAGGTGAACATTTGAGCAATGAAATTAATAAACTTTTGTGTCTCAGCAGGAATTTCTTTCTCCAGACAGCCAATGCGCGTCTCGAAGAGAATGGACGCAATCCCTGTGAAGAAAGGTATCTCAATTATTGTGGGCAAATTGAAAGCATGTTTAAAATGGTGATAAATTGGTATTCAAATGACTAACATTATTATGGTCATTTGCATACCAATTTAACACCATTTATGTCTTATAAAATAAAGACAAAAATTAGTTTATTTAATGTAAGGCTTATAACATGATTCATAACATTATACAACCCTAAATCTGAGTATGGAAAACACAAATAAAAAGTAGTGATTTCCAAATTTACATTGACTTGTATTTCATTGCAGACAATATAAACAAAATATTCATGTTTCTTCATAATGTATATTGACATCCTTTCCTGTCATTCAGATCTGCAACACATTGCAAAAAAGTTGAGACAGGAGCAGTTTAGAGCTAGTAATCAGGTAAATTCTTTAAATAATGGTGTGATTTAAAACAGGTGATGTTAACAGCTGATTGCAATTATGATTTGGTACAAAAGCAGCATCCAAGAAAGGTCTAGTCCTTTAGGAGCAAAGACAGGCTGAGGATTCCCTGTTTACCAATAAATATGGTTAAAAACAGTGTTCCTCAAAAAAGATTTGAAGACATTTGGATATTTCAATTTCAACAGAGCATAACATTACATTAATAAAAGATTCAAGAAATCTGGAGGAACTTCAGTGCATAAAGTACAAGGGCGCAACCCAAAGCTGAACTACTGTGATATCTGATCCCAATGCATCTAGAATCATCATTCATCTATAAGCTATATAACCACAATGGGCTCAGGACTACTTTAGCAAACCTTTATCTAGTACCACAATACATAGTTACATATACAAATGCAAGTCAAAATTGTACTGTGCCAAAAGGAAGCCCTATGTTAACAGTGTCTAGAAGCGACTTCTCTGGGATCGGAGGCATCTGCAATGGACCATTACACATGGGAAACATGTACTGTGGTCAGAAAAATCAGTATTTCAGGTGTTTTTAAGGAGAATTGGATGCTGTGTGCTCCGGACCAAGGAAGAAAAGGATCATCCAGACTGTTACAAGTAACAAGTCTAAAAGCCAGGGTCTGTCATGGTATGGGGTTGTGTCAGTGGTAGTTTGCACTTCTGTGATGCCACCATTAACGCTGAAAAGTACATAGAGATTTGGACTACAATATGCCGTATACTTCTTTTCCAGGGATGCCCTTGCATATTTCAACAAGACAATGCAAAACCGCATTCTGCACACATTACAAAGTCCTGGTTGCAGAGGAAGAGGAGAAAGGTACTTGACTGGCCTGTCTACAATCCCGACCTGTCCCTAATAAAGAATGTGAGGTGCATTTTTAAATGCAAAATGCAAGACTGAAGACTCGGTACTGTTGCCCACTTTAAGACATGTTTGCAGGACGAATGGGACAAAATTACACCTGAAACATTTCATCACTTGGGTGTCTTCGGTCCCTAAACGTCTTTTAGGGGTTGTGGAAAGAAATGGCAACATTGCATGGTAAATGCTTCCAACTTTTCAAAAATGTTTTCCAAGAACAAATTGGATATTGAATATGTGCTTATTTTAAAAAAATCATAAAGGTCCACATTAAATAATGTTTGTTGTATAGTCTGCAGTGAAACACAAGCTAAAGTAAATTTCAAAATCACTTCTTTCTTTTTTATTTGCGTTTTCCATACTGTACCAACATTTTCCGATTTGGGGTTGTACTATAATTGCTAATGTTGCATTTGTCCAGCAATTGTCACATTTTTAAAAGCATTAAATTGCACTTTGTTTCATGTTGTAATGTCAGGCTGCTCACTAATTACCCTATGGGAACATGAACTTTACTTCTGCTTAAAGAATTTAATTTTACACACTAATAAAGTGGAAATACCTTCAAGAGAGAATCGGTAAAGCTCATTGGTCAGATTAGACACCAGATCCCCTGTAGGACTCATCTCCCGCAGATAGTAAATGCGTTTGATGAAGTCTGTGATCACTGCATTCACCACATCTCCATACTGAACCGAGTCCTTTGGATGAAGCATGCGTTTGTTCAGCACCGCCCGCAGTTTGTACCATTTCTCTCCTTCTCTGTTGAACAACACAGTCTTTTTTCATATGAGAAACTGAACAGCGGAAATTGATAAGAGTTCATGGTCACACTTTACAATAAGGTTCATTAGTTAATGTTACTTAATGCATTTACTAACATGAACAAACAATGAACAATACATTTACTACAGTTCTTGTTCATGTTAGTTAACGTTAGTTAATGAAAATACAGTAGTTCATTGTGAGTTTGGATGTTAATAATGCATTAGTAAATGTTCAATTATGGTTAATAAATGCTGTACAAGTGTTGTTCATGATTAGTTCATGTTAGCAAATGCATTAACTAATGAACCTATTGTAAAGTGTTACCGAGTTCATGATTTTGTATAACACGAAACAGCTACATTAGCCAACTTTGCCAACTTGCTTTTTAAATGGGCTGTAAAACGAGTGTTATTTATACAAATCCTTTGTTTTTACTCTGTGAAAGGGCCATAGCTAATGCCTCTTAAGTCCCGGTGCTCTGTCCACAGAGTCATGTATCCTCTGCATGGATATTTCTCATCTTTTCGAAGGAGTTCTTCCAGCAGCTCCACACTGCTTATTGAAATGCCTTGGAGGTTTCCAGCATTAATTTTCCACAAGGGGCCATAAACCTGTTTTTGATATAACTGGAGAGATAAAATGACAGCCGTTTCTTTTCAATTCATTAAAACACCTGACAGCATCAGGACATAAACAATAACAATAATGTCAAGAGTCCTGCAGATAAAATCACATGACAAACAAATACAGCTGCGTTATTTCTTTATACCTGTAGCTCATGTACGCTGTTGAGGTAACCTTTGAAGAGCATTTGATACAACATGGTAAAGATTTTGATCTCTGGAAGGTCAGCCTCAGTCTTCAGCTTTCTGTGGCCGTCCTGGACACTGACAGAAGCAGCCGCAGCATTTCCTGCTGCACTCCTGAAGCCTGTGGCCGCTGCCGTGGGTCTCAGAAAACACCATCCGAGCCTTTCTGCAGAGCTCAAAGCAAAACAAACAGCCATTATGGACTTAGAAAGAAAAATGAGGTTAACGACACCGGAATGAGAGGGAGGGCTGGACAAAAAGACTCACTATTTAACCCTTCACTATCTGTTGTAATAATATAGCTTGAGGAGTTTGAAAATGTGACATATGGTATTATAATTGATAATAACGTTAAGTTAAACATTAGACATTTACAATAATTGTCCATATTCATCTTTTTCTTTTCTGGAGCACAAAAGTTGAACTTTGGTGTCAAAAAAAGAACAAATAGCACATGTAGCGGAGAACAAAAACGGAGACAAACAAACAAATAGCACATAGCGGAGATGTCTGCTGAAGGAGGAGGAGCGAGAGCTCATGTTCCCCCTCGCTGGAGCTCAGCTCTGCCCAAATGGCTCTGCAGTGAGCACCACTTGCTTCATTTGACATTCAAGAGACGTCCAGTTAAAGGCATTTGCTTATCTGTAATACATTGTATGTCCTTGCAGACATTCAAACTACGTTTGTCCGACACATTATAACATAGCTACGTTTGATATCATGTCTGTGAGCCATCTGATTTGTAGCCTGATGATGTAGATGTTGTTTTTAATTTGTCTTTTTAGTAGTTCCCTCATGCCCTGCATTTCTGCATTTTATGCACCCTCTGTTATGACAGGTAGAGAAAAACTGTAAGGTTTTTAAACTAACACAGGCGACTTATGCTTCTATGTTTCAAAATTTATTAATATGAAATTCAAACGCTAAAATTGTAACAGAATAAAAAATGTAAATTGTTTTGCACTGTCACATTCAGGCTACAGAATGACCTTTAGTCGGAAATCAAGTGTTTAAAAAAACAAAGCTAAAAAACTCAGTGCTAAATTATAAATCCTAACAATTCCCGTTCATAATCTGACCAACAATAAAGAACACTGATACTGGATTCATTAAAAAGTTTAATTGATTGTTAGCTCTATAAAATAGGCTACATTATTGCACAATGGAATAAAATGCACAGCAACCATTTAAAATAAATCTTAAATCTGCATGAGGGAAAAAAGAGCTTTTCACAGTGTAATATATACATGGTCCTCCATATTGCATATTTCAAAGCACAACACAATCATAATCAGACATTGGTACCCTTATGAAAATTAACCATGGTTTCATTACTAATACTAATACTACAAAAATATGGTTTTTGATGTTAAAACCATGGTGACTACTAATTTCCCATGGTATTTGTAGTTAAATTGTTGTTATACATACGTCAATACAAATAATAATAATAATAAAAATAATAATAAGAAGAACATGGTTACAGCTTGTTTACTACACTGTAAAACCCCAAAAGTAAAGGTAACTCAAACCATTTGAGGAAACCGATTGCAACAAACCATTTAAGTTCAAAAACTAATCCTAATGAGTACTGCGAACTTACTCCATTTAAGTTGAAGTGATGAGGTATTTAATAAACTCATTACTTTCAACACTGAGTTCAAAACTCTTTTCAAACAAGTAGTATTAACTTTCAGTCAATTTTGAGTTAACTACACTCATTTTATTTGATAAAATTAAGTGTTGGGTTTTACAGTGTATAATAAAACCAAGGATAATTTTTGTAAGAGTAACCATTACGTGACATTTACATAATTCACTTTTGCAGGTTGCTTTTCAAATGTACATGCAGCTTGTTGAAACATAATGTCTTCTTTAGCTATGCTTCAGTCTTCTTTCTTTCCACAAAGTGCAGATTAACTTTTCTGTCTGGAGCAAGCACTGTACGATTCAGTGACCTCACCTCACCTACAGTCGGGTCTGGTCTAATTTCAAACAACTTGATTAGCTGAAATGAAAAGATGACATTACAAAAACACAATTAATTAAATAATATATTTATCTGGCACAAAAGAACAAAAAAAGCGGGCTTACCCTTGCCAATGCCAGGTACATTTCCAATTCAGCAATGCGACGACCGACACAGCCTCTGACTCCAAATCCAAATGGGATCGATCCAAATGGGTTTGGTCTGGTTCTGCCGTCTCGCAGCCAGCGCTCAGGTTTAAACTTCTGTGGTTCTGGGAAGACTTTTTCATCACGACTGATTGCGTAGTGGCACAGAGTGAAAGTTGTCTGTTAAATAAAAGCAGCTGATTAAGTGAATAAGCTGTTTAAAAAAGTTTTCTTTTAACTTCCTAATAGTATACGGCCAGCTTACATTTTTAGGGAATAAGTGTCCACCAATGACAACTTCATTTTCTGCAATAAGCCGAGCATTCATTGGCACCACAGGATACAACCTGATCAGGAAATTACATACGCAAACAGATTATAATATGCACTATGAAGCTACAAATGATACCCAGATTCCCAAAGAGCCTAAAAACATTTAGAAATGTATTTTATTCCTGCACTGGCAAAGCTACTTTCAACTTCCATCACTTCAATCTCTAATGTCAGAAGATGCTTCTGAAATTATTTTAATCTAAAAATTTTCTGCTCAACTGTTACACATTTATATACAGCGGGGAAAATAAGTATCAAACTCGTCATGTTTTTTTCCTGCGAAAAATATTTCTAAAGAAGCAGTTGACTTAGAATTAAACCAGATCTTGGTAAAAACCCAAACAATACAAACATAAAAATAAAACAAAACAAAACATATCTGAAAGATTAGTTGTGTGTAATAACAATGAAATGACACAAGGAGAAAGTTCTGAACTACTGAAATGAATTTGATACTTTATATAAAAGTTTTTTTTGGTGACGGCAGCTTATAGATGCCTCTCATATGGAGAATGAAGTCACATGAATTGCTCAGGTGTAATTGCTCATGTGGTTCTCGTCTGTCAAATCTGATCTTCATTTTGTATTTTCTATTGGATTCATGTCAGGAGATTGGCTGGGCCATTCTACAGCTTGATTTTCTTTCTCTGAAAGCATTTGAGAGTTTCCTTGGCTGTGTTTTTGACCATTGTTTTGGTGAAATGCATTCTGGTTTCATCTTTATCATCCTGATAATGTAGATGTTGGACTGAAGTAGCGGATATTCATTTACAATAAGGAAGGGCAGAGGGTTGCTGAATAACTAACTTCAATACTTTTTCCCTGCGTCATTTCATTGTATTTATAGCTTAATTGTAAATTAATTAGATTTGTTTTCTTTGCATATATTAATTTCTTTTGTTGTAATTTTAAGTCAACAGCACCTTTAGAAAAATGGTGGTGTGTTCAATACTTATTTTGCCTGCTGTATTATTATGAATATATAAAAAAATTGTTAAATTGTTAAAAAATAATTGTTATAAATTTATATTTAAGAATTAAAAAAATCTTCCTCTTATTACTATAATAATAATTATTATTATTATTTATATTATTATCATTATTAGTTTTTGCTGTTTAATACATTTTGGTAAAAATGTTACACTTTATTGTTTGACGATTATAAAGTTTAAAATATGCAGTATTTATTTCACATTTTGTAAGATTGCAAATGTCTTTATGATTACTTTTGATCAATTTAATGCCTCCTTGCTCAATAATATTTTATTAATCTATTTATTTATAAATCTTAAACCAAATGTATGAATTTATAGTATATCACAGATTTCCACTAAACATTAAGCAGCACATTTGTTTTCAAAATGACTAACAATTAGAAATGCATTGAGACAAAAATAAATGTTTTTTTGAAACATATTCAAATACAGTATGTAATAATATTTCACAATATTACTGGTTTTGCTGTAATTTTGATCAAATAATTGACATTTTTTTTATTCTTTCTCTCCATAATATTTTATAAAGATTTGACAATTGTATGGTAGACCGGAAATGGTCCTTTGGGCTGTCAAATAGTTTATTTGGTTTTTCAAAGATCACATTACTCAACCTTAAAGTTTCCTTGATGACAGCTTTGAGGTAGGACATGGTGTTCACTTCTTGTGCGGTTGGGATTCTGTCATCCTTTAAGACGTTGGTTACCTCCTGATACAAAATGTCTTGAGTTTCTGGGTCTTTTGAGAGGTGATACAGTGCAAACAACATAGTGTTGGAGGTCTAGAACATAGAGCAGAACAAATATAGAAAACATAAATAAATATATATCTTTAAAAACATTTTTGCCTTTATTAGATTAGACAATAGGATGACAGAAAATTAAGTGAGACTGGATCAGGAAAGGTCCACAAGCCGGGATTTGAAGTCAGGACACCCAAAATAAATAATTAAAATATTCATTGGAAACCTCAAATGCAAAGGGGAAATATTTTTTCTATTTCAATTACTGACTGTTGTCATTTGCTGCTGTTGTATATACTGACTATTTACTTTCAACATCAAGTGGTTCTAAATGTTTATGAGTATACTTTTTTGTTTAACACAAAAGTAAGATCATTATAAGAATGATAGAAATCAGTAAACACTGACTTCCATAGAAGGAAAGACAAATACTATGCAAGTCAATTGTTACTGGTTTTCAGCGTTTTTCAAAACAACTTCTTTTGCTTTTAACAGTAAATGATGTAAATGATGACAGAATTCTCAGTTTTGTGTAAACTATCAGTGATTTATCAAGAAGGAGGGAAGTTATTTTAAATAAAGATTATAAGACTTTCTACCAGTAACTTACATTTTCACTTATAAACAATGTGACAGGGCCTGACTTAAGGTTGTTGTCCTCCAAAAAATCATACAAAAACAAGCATAAAATCATACAATTCAATGATATTATCCTCATTTTTTGTTAAATTTAATGTGGGATAGGACTGTAAATGTATTTGTATTATATATTTGTAGTCTTTATTTATTTATATAATTTATTTATAATTTCATGCTTTTAATCAATTGATGTGAATGATAATAACTTAAATTGCTATCTCTGAAGTTTTTTTTCCTCTATATAACAGTTTTTAGCATAACAAAACTATTAAAGCTGTAGGTTCAGTTGGGCTGAGGACAAGGACAATGACAGAGTTTGTACAGTATAAAGTGTTTTTTAAAAAGAAAAGCAATCTGAGAGCCAAATAAATGTCATATTCCTTTACAGAACAACTCACAGAAATCAATCATCAGTCCATTTTAGACATTTTAGACACTTTTTATTCACTGTATTTATGTTTTCATTTTTAGGGACAGATCATGGATGTTTCTGGTAGAATGTCCCTTATATGAAAGCAAAAAATCTATATGAGCACAAATAAATAATTTATTAAAAATACTATAATTTTCCATAAAATATTAAGAACTGTGATTTTAATTTCAAAGAAGCTCTACTAAAGATTTTGCAAACATTAATAGTTTTTTTTTTTTTTTGCAAATGTGTGAACAGCTTGTAAACTTTCCAGGTTGTGTATGAAGGCCTGATTTATAACTCATTAAAAAACTGATTTCTAAATCCTCTAAACACTTTTTGTTAGGAAAAATCTGAAGAATGTTCAAGATTATCCCAAAAAAGCTTTTATATTTATGTATTAACATTAAAGTATTGTGCAAAAAAAAGAGATCAACTTGAAACTAAATATAAATGTTTATTTAAGATATAAATGTCACATTCAGTGTCATGTTACGTCTGAATATTTGCAAGCAAAATTCGCTGGCTGCATGGAAATTAAAATGTACAATGTTTATTTCGCTCACTGACATTGTTAGTCTTAAAATGAATAATTAATCTGTGCTAATACACTGAAATAAAATATTTGGTTTGGTGATCTTCAATTTTAACTTTTGCATTTGAAGTGGCGGTCCTTCTGTTGACGACTAACATAGCAACTGGATATTCAGCAGGGTACAACGCTAGGGATTTTTTTCTACTGGCCCGATTGGGCAAGTGGTTCAGATTTTTAATTGCCCTGCCAAAATT